ACGCGAAGGCCTTACCCCCCCCCCCATGCCCCCCACCATTTCCACAACTGAATAGCAATAATTTTCTCTAATGAAGATAACAAGCTTTCGTTTCGAGCTTTACTTGCACGTCCCCTGCCTTCCGCATTTTTTGGAAATTTTATGACATGTTAAATTTTTCCACTCCGACAGTGCTGAAGCCCGTACTGTCTGGGTGCATTCGTAGGCAGCACAATAAGGTTTGATTCCCTAACTTACAAAGATTTCTTTACTTTAAATGAATTAATTACTAGTAACAAAATAGTCGATCCGTTTTGATGAAAAAGTTCCCGAATAAAAGATTTCCGAGAGCCAACTCGCCAGTAAGCCAACTGTAAGATGTCACGAAATATCCCTACGCCCCCAAAAAAAATCGGGAATACATATTTTTGTCATCTCATAGAAATATGTTGGAAATGCTTGCAAATGCATAGCTTCAGACATTGCTATCTTATATTTTCCTTGCAAAAACGATTTATTCAGTGACCCATGAAATTTCTCCTTCGACCCCCCATATCTGGGAAACACCTCCGCGCACGCCCGATCAACATCCAAATTCAAAACCCACGCCCAAAACTACCCTAGTTTAACATCATCCAATAATTTTTCCTCTGGGGGGGGGGGGGGGTGGGCATGCTTCCCATTCAACAACTGGTCTAAGTGGAATGCTTTCAATGCTGAGGTTGTCAACTTTGACGTGACAGTATAACGTGGTTTTTACAAACCCCAAATCGTGGCAATATTTTGCAGATATGTTTGGCCCTAAATTAGGTAGCATAAGTCCTTTAAACTTTTCTGTTTTATTCTATCACTCAGATTTTCCGACAAGTTAACATCTTGGATCATGACTAATTTTAAGGGAACTGCATATTTTGATGATGATAGTTGATTTTTTGACGGAACCCTTTAGAAATCTTTGCTGACCACACAATTCGATGGAAAATTCGGCCAATCATTTCGGAATTGAAATTAAATATACAATTGACAAGCAGTTTTGATTTTTGTCATATGTTGCTTTGATTATTTAGTACTGGCAAATGTTTTATCAGCTATGTTATGTCCAAATTTTGCACAGAGGCCCCTGGGGTAAAAAGGGAAAATGCAGTTCACCTGCGAGTTCCCCTTAGATTAGCTTAAAATACATCTCAAATAAGATATTTTGCCTGATTCCCGCATCACATGCTCTAGAGCATGACTGAAATTCGAGAGCGTTTACCATCGTGCTCACCTTAAACGTTTTCACGAAATTCCTTTTTGTGAACATATAAAGAGTTGATGCTGCAATTCAAGGCTCTTGTTGCCTATGTACTTTGCTCTGGGGCTAGTAAAGACGCTATCTGTCAGAAAGTGGAATGTCTAGTAAGTTGCTACATTTTTACATCCCTTTTTGGTGACATCTGTTTCTACTCAAAAGGAATGTGGGACAGAAATAAATTGGCTTGGAAGGACAGATATCACACGACATCTAGGAAAGCAGCAAATGCATAGCAATAACATGTATTAAACGTAATATGCGCCAAGAAATCCTAAAAGGGTGGAACTGCAGTGTATATGAAACCTGAAACAGTTGCGTGCCTACAGTCTCTGTAAGAAGATGTTGAAATTGGAAACCTCTCTGTTCAATAGCAATATCTTTGTTATAAAAGAACACGTGCACCATCGTTGAACTGTGGGGAGTGGGTACAAACCTGTATGCAGCCTGGCATTTGTTTGAGTGTTTGTCTCGATAAATTTGCAGAACAGGATTGAGATCATTCTAAGCCAAATGGTACAGAATATGACAACAATTGTGCCATGATTTTCTTAGAGCACTATTAAAACATCTAGCATTTCAGTGCATTATAGACTTTGCTCAAGCTGGCGCCTTGTTAAAACGTTGATCCTATGTTTCAAAGCCTTATGATTACGTTTAAACTGCATTTGAGGACAACTGTATTAATTTTAAATAGAAACGATTTAACTCAACTCAAAACATGCCTTGTCCATCTATCATACTGTCAGGGAAGGCGCACTGATTGTATTTCGTAGTTGTGACTATCAATTGAGCGACCCACAATTGGTGGTCCTTCGTATAATCTCGCACAAAACCACACATAAAGCGGTGAAGTCACCCTGTGAAAATACAACCGACCAGCCTTCATCATGACTTTAAATTTGTTGAGAAAATTAAGAGTATATTTCTTCTGAATATCTGTAATTTATTCTAGAAAATTCAATTATATCAAAAAGGTCCATATGTTGTCAATTCGTTTAAAAACATTACGTTGCTCTCTGAAAAATTACAAGTTATCCTGTGATCATTTTAGCCAGCTTTCTTATCTAATACTAAATCCTAACAGAAAACATTTGCAATATTCATCGGTTTGGCATAGACCTAGCACTAGTCGGGGTATCTTTTTTCGGCCCTTGTCCCATTTTCAACGGTAATTGAATGTTAAACATAAAAATCATTGTAGCATCTCGTGGAAATTTGCATTTAATAGCACAAGGTGCTATTACATGCTTCAACAAGCTGGAGAAATAAAGGATCTTTTATGCCATGTAGTATCTTCAATGTACAGTTTCTATATCTTAATAGCAAGTTTATCTTTAAATAAGATACTATTTCAACGAGTATCTTGGACTTACAACAAGATCCGTTAATATTTACTGTGACATGGTGCACTTTTTAAGATCATCTTGCCCATCCCTGTTTACTTCTCCTTTGAGCGTCTTCACTCCTATTCAATTCTTTTTTTGGTAATAATACTACTTTGAGACCGTCCTTTCGATCAGCCACAATTTTGTTACAATGGCATGACATAGACCTCAACCCTTGACCGTCAAAAGCTTATGGAAGGCCTAAGTAAAGTAAAACAATGATAGTATTACGTCCATAAGTAGGTCACCTTGTATTTTGCATAGCTAGCTTTGGAGTTGCGAGAGATGTTATTAGATAATGCCTATGCCATAAAATTTAAGAGGCGTGGTATATCTCAAATGTATATTAAGACATATTTCTACGTAGCTAATTAAAGGAGAACTGACACGCAAAAAAAAGTTTGGCTAAAACGGTAGTTTGTGACAAGCAAATTCCGGGATCGAAAAAATTTTTTAGATCACAGTTACCGTTTTTGAAATACAGGCGTTTTAAGTTGAGAAACGACAAATATTCCGACAACTTGAGACTCGAGGCGAAAATCGTCACGAGTGGGCGATCATCTTTGACGTCACAAGTGACATGTTCTCAGCACGTATTGTGTTTCTCTATAGAAACCTTTAAGAAAATGCTGCGGACAAATGTATATTTTGTGCATCTGAAAGGAGCTAATTTTGCATTTTTGACACATAATTGACTTTTTCAATGGTTTGGGACTCTGAATCGGAGTTTTATTACACTGATTTCGAAACAAATGGAGAGTTTCAGCCGTCTGAGTTTTTGCTACCAACCAGCGCTGCCGCTTGGGCAGACAGTCGTCCCATGGCTCAACAGTGACGATGTTATGAACAAAGAACAGACTGGATGTACAAACTGATATGGAATTTCTATTAAAAACAATGCTATTGCTACAATCTAAATGAGATCAGGTATCCTAAAACTAGAATTTCATTTCAGATTGAGGCGTCTTTGTCTAGACTGCTTTGTATATGGCCTAATTCGCTGAAATGCCTATGATGCCCTAAACGGAACTGCAAGTTATTCATTGTTAATGTAACATTCCATGATTGTTTTTCAATGTTTCAAACGCGTTAACTGTATAGTGATATTAAATAGTGAAGGCGGGTTAAAAGTCCACTTGTGCGGATTATATGCCATTTTCACAGGGCGTGAAGGGTTTCGGGAACTGATAAGTTACATGGCAGTCGAAAAATCTGGATTTACGAAATAGGCTCTTAGCTCTCAGTCAAAGAACTTGATTTCTTAGTCGAAGAAAATGCTGTTTAGCTGTCATAGGAATATCAACTGACGCATTATCTTCTTTTGCAATCAATTTTGACTTGGGTGGGGGATGGTCTTTTCGAAGACTAGGTTATTCCCTAGTATCTCAACCTCTGTTAAAATACAATAATCAAGTTCCGTGAAATTATTATTTAGTCACACTCGTAGCTCCCAACAACCAAGGCTTTTTCTTGAATTCATATTTCTGCACCCAAAGCAGGTTGCAGGATCACTTTTACCGCTGTCTCCACTAGATTTCGTTTGTCTTTTGGCTATTGCTTCAAACCACACCCCCCACCCCCATGTTGCGATTTTATTTGTAATTGTAAAATTAAAAACTTTAAAGAAACGGTATCAGTTTTCAAACAAAGTCGACTCCTTTTTTCATAAGCTTAGAGGTTCTTTCAATGTTTCAAAGCATGCTGGTTCGAAGATATCATGGCACAAAAATAAATTTTATATGGATATAAGCGTCTTAGCAGACATGTAGCTAGGATTTTCTAGCTTCGATATACTTATAAATGAAATGCCTGACAATTTTTTGTCTTTTCACCGCGGATTATTTTCAATAAAACACGAAACTTCATTTGTACTTTCACCGTTGCGGTGAAAGCCTTTACAACGGCATTGTTACCATGTCACTTGTGACGTCAACCGAGAATTTTAACAACTCCTGGCGATAATCTTGTTTCAGCTTCGGGAAATTCCCGAGTCCTGGCTGTGACGTATTCGACGGATAAAAGTGCAAATATCAGAAAAACAGCGAATCTTAGAAGAAAACTTTTTCCAGATTTGAAGTCAGCGAAAAATTTTGCATCGAATAAGCCAAAGTTATTTTTGCGTGTCAGTTCTCCTTTAAAGATGCAACTCATATTACAGTCAGGGGTAAAGTGATAGGGGGGCTCAACCGAAAATTGGCAAATTTATACTTTTGCTATTATATTTTGCAACATCCTGTGCAAGTGCCCCCCTTGTTATTTTGATAGCACTACACCAATGATTACAGGTTAAGTCGTACCAAATTTCCTCTCATCATAAATAGAGTTCAATGATCGATACTTCATTATGTAAGCCGTATAGTATCAGTTGTAATGATTTTTCCAGTTACATCTTTAGAGATATATAAAACATGAGTTATAAACGGGTTCCTAGAATCTTTTGATTTTGCAAACATCAAACAGCAAACTCACACAGACAAACAGGCCTGACAGTAAACTTTGAAATGTGCATGGCGATCATTTCTGCTCTATTCTAACAGTACAAGGAAGCTATTATACCACTCCAACATTATAATGATTTAAATGGCAAGCCTGATTTTTGTTTGTATTCCATTAGCGATGCAGCCAACCAGATTTGTTGTGTTCGATAATGTTGATTCAGCTGTCTTTACATCTGTGCCCTTGTTAGTATCCTAAGAGCATCTTTGACTGTCAAAAGTAGACAAGATCCTCCACTCATCTGAAAGGCCTTTTCAAAGGATTATCAAAATCTTCCAGCACTCAAAGGCTCACCAACAGCGAGGTAATTCAAACAGTCTACTTATGTTCCCAGTTATTAACACTGCTTTATTTCATTTGTTGAAATAGCTTTGAAAACCACAGTACTGGCAATGTGAATAAATCTATATTAAGGATCTGCCATGTCTGCAAAACGTTAGGAATGACACATCCCTTGAAAGATCCCTAGGGTCAATTTCGAAAGTTGATGTGTATTTAGTCTCCTTCAATTCAGGTAGGATTATGAATGCTAACAGGCCTAGTTTATAATACCCCTATGTTTCCAAAGAG